TAATATTATATTAGTAATATATGATTATTATTATTATTATTATAATTATTATAATTGTAATTATTAATATTATTATTATTACTCTATTAATGAAAGATTGCCAATTATCCGAATTAAACGCCTGAGGCTGGAAGAGAGGCCTCTGGCAGCTGGAGCTCCCAGGCAACAACCGGGAGGGATAGGCTGCAATCACTTGCCCTGAGCGTGCTGCGGGAAGCCAACAATTACTAAATTGTACCAATTAGCAAAGGCCCTACAGGCTGAGAGGCCTGTGCTAGGGCCGGTTACTTCGCAGCGCTATGAGGCCTCAATCTTTTTATTTTATTTTTTTAAAGATGGCGCCCGCCACGTGGTGGCGCCCTAGAGGCGATCGCCCACGTTTCTAAAGTCCCGGGCTGCTCAGGGCAATGAAGTTTTTTACTTCTCCGGCCTTAAAAGAGGCCGAGGAAGCCAAGCAGTAAGTTTTCGCCCCTTCTTAGGGCGAGCGGCGTTTGCGGTGTGGGGGAATACCAGCAGCACTTATCAGTGCGATCAGTAAAGCTGCTGCAAGCGCAGCGAGAGAAACGGCAGGCAAGAGATCAAATTGGGGGGGGGGAATTAGCGCCGAAGCGCGAAAGTCGCCCATTCTACAACCCCCCTGGGGGCGAAAGAAACGCGCTCCCCTTAAATCCCCAGTCCTGCGCCAGAAGGCTAAGGAAAATAACTTGTTTTTCTCTATAAATATTTCCAAACCTGAGAGCAAGTCTTGGATCAGCCAAGGAGTGAGAAATGCACAGCCTAACTTGACGACGGCTGAGCGCAAACTGGGGAACGCAAGAGAGCCACGTGATGGAGGGCGGAGCGTTCCTCAGTGATTGAGCTCAGCCATCAACGACGTAGACTGAAGCACCTCCCACTCTCTGGATGATCCGAACGGCTCTCAGGAGAACCTCCTGAATGGCCTTAAGGTCCAGCAAATGCTGGATGGCCGACTCCATCAGAATCCACCTCCCAGCATCTCTAGAGACTGGGCAGGAGATAAAGAACCTCGGAGGAGTGGAGTAGAATTCCAGTGAAAGACCCCATCTAACAGTGGACAGAACCCAGGCGTCTGAAGTAATACCCTCCCATTGGTCAGCAAACCACGCTAAATGACCACCAATGGGAACAGAGTGAGCACTAGGGCTGGCGACTTCTTCCTCCTTGAAAGGGCTGTTTAGAAGAAAACTGCTGCCTGCCCTTGCCTGAGCGACCAGGAGGAGGTTCTTGACGTTGATAAGCAGGTTTCGACGGCCAGTGGAAACTGGAAGTTGACTCTCCTCTGAACTGAGGGCGTTTGAAGTGAAGAGCAGCCCAATGTTCCACCCTCTTTAGGAGCGAAGGAAGAATCTTACTTTTGTCCTTGGTCTCAATCAAAAGGGGCTCAAGGACCTCACCAAAGAGCTTCTCCCCTTGGACCGGAGGAGATGCCAACTTCCATTTACATCTGCCATCAGCATGCCAGTTGCGAAGCCAGCACATGCACCTGGCTGCCACCAAGGAGGCAATGGCCTTCGTGGCAAACCTGGCGCTATGCAGGGTGGCATCTGCCGTAAATTCTGTAGCCGCCATGATCTTGTTGATGTCCTGGTGGGCACAGACATCCGATGAGGGAATTCTATCCTGCAGCTGTTTCAGCCACTTGAGCAAGGTTCTCGTAAAGAAGGAAGCCTTGACCACCCAGGCTGCAGCCAAATGGGATCGCTGTAGCGACTGTTCCACTCACTTTTCTTCTGCCTTGAGGACTTCCTCTGGGTCTGAAGGGGCAGACGAGGAGGAGGCCAAAGCAGCGACCAGAGCATCAACTGTGGGGACCTGAAGGGTCTTAGTAAGTTCAGGCCCCACATTGAAGAACCTGCGATCAGAGGCCAGAGGATTGGGCCCTGTGGCAGGGGCTTTAAGCTGTTTCTTGATTACCTCCAGGAACAGCTTTGGTGATGGAACCACTTCCTTCTTGACTTTGGGCTCATCAAACAGAACATCTGACTCCTCAGGAGGAAGTGTGGATGCTGCTTCATCATCTGCGTTTTTCAAATTTGCAGTGTTTCTAGCCTTGAACAACAAGGGACTAAACAAAGAGTGTTTAAAACAACCCGTAAACACCAGAATTTCCTGAGAAGGGCCTTCATCCGCTGACATATCGGATTCCGGCCTATCAGGTTCACCCACCAACGGTGGAGCCACTGAGGCAGCAGGAGCGAAGTCTTCAGCCAACCCAGAAACTGGATCCTGGATAAAGGAGCCTCTTTCTGACAAGAGAGTTTCACAAACCCGGGATCTTCTTTCTGATAAATCAGAAGCTGCAGATGAATGACGGGTAGCTCTCTGCAAACCTTCGGAGATGCCCTTCCTGATTGCCTTCTCTATCAGGATCTGCAAATTAATAGGGACATCCAAATCAGAAGGATCAGTAGGTGTGGCTGCAGGGGCAGTAGAACAAAAGGAGGGTTCCACCCCCTATTCACTGTGCCCACGTTCCTGCCAAGGTGCTGCTTCTCCATGAAGATCTTCAGCTTGACCGTAGCCTTCAGAAGGAATGGGAGAAGCGCCTCTTCTGGAAACATCAGGGGACCAAGTTTGGACACCAGGTCTGGAAGAAGGTCCAGGCTCCTCCAAATCCACTTCACTGATGAGTGATGCTGGAGATGGGGGGCGTGCAGATGTTAAGCAAGAAGAGGCCTGATGCACCTTGGGTATTTGCTTCTCGATGGCCTGATGGCGCCTGGAAGCATCCTTCTCCTCCGCCCTTGAGGCCTTTTTTACAGGTTGCTTCCCTTTGGTAGAAGCAGCAGGAGCCACCTTTTGAGACTTGGCCGCTTTAGAAGCTCTGGTTTCCTTTGGGGCTTCAGCCATCTTGGAGCAGCAAGGCCAATGCTGGACTAAAAGTCCTGTGCCAGGAGGAAAGCACACGAAGGGATTTAAGAAATATCTTCAGGGGAAATCTCTATCCCCACACAAACTGTGATGACCCGTAGTCTCTCAAAATAACCCAAAACCCAAAACATATATTAAAGTCCAGTAAAGCCTTCAACTTAACTTCACTGTTTTATTAGACACAGTTTAAAGTCACAAAAGTAAATAATGAGGCAAACAAAAAACCAAAACAAACCGCATTGATGAGAGTACCGAAGCAAGCCAAGATAACTAATTATAAACTCCAGGAAAATAACCGAGAAAAGTCCATGGGAAGAACGCCAGCAAAGATAAGCCTCTTTCAAGGTAAACACTAATTGACTTCAGCAATTCTAACTGCGCAGTTGCAAACTTATATACATAGCTCCCACCTGCAAGCCACGAGGAGGATCATGGTAATCTCCTCTTGAGTAGACCTCGCTTTTCCCTGATCCTCTCCTCCCTGTGTGACCTAGGATGGATAGGGGATGGGCCTGGATCCTCCTCTGACTGCTCAGGCGGCCTCTGCCCTTCTCCAGCCTCGTTGACACCTCTGGAGCCACACTCCCACTCCCTGTTGGCTGTTCCTCCTCCTCCTCAGAATCAGACTCCACCAGGGGCATGACACCAACCACCACTCTCTTCTGCCCTAAAGCACTTCAGTAGAAAGTCTTCCTACTGGGACTCCAACCATCCTGGGCCTAATAGGGCAATATTAATAGACCAGGCCCAGCTGGGAGCCTGAGGGTCCTGGTCTACTTCGGGATAGGGAAACCAATCCCCCACCAGGAAATTAGAGATTTTTAGCGCCTACTCATTGATGTCGTCCGCAGCAGGAACAGCAACTGGTGGTGACAAAAGGCGTAGGAGTGGTGGGAAGACGAAGAAGCCTGGTCAAAATGGCCACCTGAGTCTTCAAAATGGCCGACTGTGGTGTTTAAAATGGCCGCCAGCCACGAGGAGTCTTCAAAATGGCCACCTGACTACCATGAGGCTTCTATCTTCGTCCAGGGAGGATCTGAGCTCTCCCTGGATCTTTGTTGCTTTGCAGAAGGCAGAGAAACCTGCAAAAAGGCAGCTGCAGGACCACGCGGCTGCCTGCTTCACCGTGTGGGGGGGGGATTCCAACCCCGCAGCTGTGTAAGGAGCGTGGCCAACGCCCACGCTCTCAGAAAATAGCCGTCTGGACAAGCAACAACGTTCTCTTCACCGCAGAGCACCAAAAAACGGTCCCGCGGCTCTGTAGATGTGGCGGAAGTCTCCCCCCTGACGAACGACCATCTGGCCGTTTGAGCTTCAATCTTCACCCCAGAGGGCTTAAAACGGCCCCCGTGGCCTCTTCAGGCAGCTCCGGATCCCTGGAGCAGCCCTCAGCTGTTTGTCAGCTCCCGATCAACAGCTGAGAAGCGGAGCGCCAATTTTGAAAAAGAAGGCAAAACGGAGGTTTCTTTTCCCCGAAAGGGAAAATTTATGTTAGAAGCCTGCCTTTGGAACTGAAAAAGCTCCAAAGGCAGGAGAGGCAAAACCCATGTCCTTTGCTGCTAAGGACTGAGCAGAAACTGGGGAGGAGTCACCCAGAGTGGGCAGAGCTAAGCTAATGAGCTTTTTGCACAGACTCAGTCCTAAGCAGATAAGGAAAAGTATTACCCATCCTGACCTGTCGCAGCCTTACAAGGGAAAATTGGATTGTGGCAGTGTATCCATCCTAGCCATTCTTGGTTTCTCAAGTTTTTGATACTACCAATCGTGGTAAGGTTCTGGATCAGTTTAGGGGCTCAGAAGTAGAGCATAGTATTGTGATGGCTCCTTCTACCTGCAGGTTTGGTTCCAGATGGTGTTTGTAGGGAAAGAGGTATCTAGTCATAATCTGTCAGCTCTTCATAACACATTGAAGATTGGTTATTGCATGAGGCCCTTGGCTAGGACATTCTGTGAGCCCATTTACTGCAATTGTGCAGATATGTGAGTGGCCTCAGAAGTAATGTTTCTTTAGTTTTTCTTTTCACTGCTTTTGTCTGTTGTTTTTGCAATATGCTAGCCATCCAGTTTTATACTGGAAGTTAGGCATCCATATAAAGTGAATGAATTACCTTAATGTGAAATTCCAAATTTTCATCCATGGAATAAATATAATTAAAAATATCTTGCACTATCCTTGGAATAATCCCCATGCCATCTGGATCATGCAACTTCCCCTTGAAATAAAAATAAATGTAATTATTGCCAAGACTGCATATTGCATGAAAAGAATAAGATTTTTAAAAAAGTATACTTGCAATCAGTTCATAATTCACAATTCAGGCAGTCACTAATGCCCTGGTCAGCTCGCATCTGCCTGGCTGATCCAATCTGACAGGGTTGGCACCTCTGGGTTCCTTCCATTAAATAATGACATATTTTAGGACCCATGCCTTCTTAGTAGCAGCATCTGCTCTATGGAATGATGTTCAAATAGTTCCCACTTTATTCATGGTTCTTTGAAACCCATTTTAGATTGTGGGTTTTGTTTTTCTTTATTCCCATCTGGTTTTATAATTTTTGCCAGCTTATCTTCATTTTTTGTCATTTCACTGTCTTTAAATATTTTTAACAATATGGAAACCACCCAGAGTTGCCAAGGGTCAGCAGACACATAAATTTAATAAATTATTATAAGCAAAATGTACAGGCATGATCCAGCTAAATCTAATCAACTAACCCGCTTATTTCTGAGAAATAACTACCTGTTTTATTTTTTCCATTGAAATTGATGGGATATAACAAAATTCACTGAATTATACCACATACAGGTAATTCTCGTTTACCAACAGTAATTGGGACAGGAATTTCTGTTGCTAAATGATGGGGTTATAAAAAGTGATGTCATATGATTGCATTGCTTAGTGGTGGCAATCCCGGCAGTCCTTGTTGCCACTGTTAAGTGAGGATTGAGGGTCATTAAGCAAGGACCTGTTTGTGACTTCATATCAGCTTCCAAAAAGCAAACTCAATGGGAAAGCCAACAGGAAGTTGCAAGTCCCAGGCAGCTTACAAACAGATCAGTGCGTGGGAAAGTAACTGTTGTGGCATGAGCATGGCTAGGTGCTTCAGTATGTGGGAAAGCACAAGTTGCTCCTGCAGTCGGGTACAAGTACAGTCAGGTGCAGGGTGGGTACTCTGAGGGGAAGGAAGGCATGCAGGGAGTTGGTGCAGCATAAGCACAGCTAGACACTGGGTGGTCCAGATAGGTGTACAGTTGGCTACTGCAGCCTGGCAGGATCATGGCCAGGACATGGGTTTTGTGGAGTGCATTTTACAATCTTATTACTTTTATTTTATTGTATTATATGGCATGCTATATGTTATGACCTGTGGTTGTAACAATAAACTACTTAATTAAAATGGAATCTATACATTTGGTAATCTGATAAACAGAAACATTATTCCCTAGAAACAATTACATTTCCAGTTTTCTACAAATGTTCTACTGCACTAATTTTACTAAGGAACATCTTGTTGAGCTATAACGTTTCATTTATTTCTATAATTATATGTTGCCTTCATTTGGATCTTACTACTTACTTGCTAAATACAGTGTTTGAGATTTGTACAGGGAAGCATGCACTGAGGACAGGTAGTCCTCGACTTAGAACAGTTCATTTAATGACCATTCAATGTTACAACTGCACTGAAAAAAGTGACTTATGACCATTTTTCACACTTACAACCACTGCAGCATCCCCATGGTCATGTGATCAAAATTCAGATGCTTAACATATGACGGTTGCAGTGTCCTAGGGTCTTAACAACTGCAGTGATTCACTTAACATCTGTGGCAAAAAAGGTCATAAAATGGGACAAAACTCACTTAACAACTGTCTCACTAGCAACAGAAATTTGGGGCTCAATTGTGGTCATAAGTCAAGGACTACCTGTAACCATGTTTAACAATATCTTACCTCCATAGTGTGAGTTTTCCCGGATGATGTTTGCCCATAAGCAAATATTGTACCATTGTATCCCTCAAGTACATCTACAGTGGGAAAAAATATAAATTAATGATAGATTCCACAGTAGCTTCATGCAAAACACTGTACTTTGAAATCAATGCTCTTCCTTGGAAGAGTCATTAAGTTTTGCTCTAAAGCAGGGGTCCCCAACCGCCGGTCCGCGGACCGGTACCGGGCCGCGGAACAAGCCTTACATCACCGGAAGTGATTTTTCGTCAAAAAAAAGATGGCGGCGCCCAGCTGACGCCGGAACCGGGCCGCGGCGCCCAGCTGACGCCGGAACCGGGCCGCGGCGTCGAAAAGGTTGGGGATCCCTGCTCTAAAGAGTTCAGTACAACTGGTATATTGAAACTGCCTAAAAAGACAACTGTGGGAAAAAAAGAGCAGATATTTTACCTGGGCAAATATCATATTTTCAGTCAATAACACGCTCCGGACCATAAGATGCACATTAGCTTTAGAGGAGGAAAACATGAAAATAAAATTCTACCTCTGCTTCCCAGCATCCATCTGGTATTTGTCTGGCTAGTGTCCTTGCAGCAAACAGCCTGGTCAGCTTCAGCAAGTTATTGCAGCCAAAGCATGTGGCTTGTCAGGACTCTGCTCCATTGCGCCCACCACCAGTCAACTGAGCTGAGCTGCTGCTGGGGAACACTGGAGCCTTTGCTGCCGATCGCCGCCACCCATTTGCCACGGTCCGTTTGCCGCCAATTGCCATGGCAAATGGGCCACAATTGGTGGCAAACGAGCCGCGATGAAAGGGCAGTGATAGGCGGTGGCAGCAGTGGCAATCTCCGCCACCTAGAACAACTGATCAGTGGTAGTCTGGGAGGTTGATCCAACCACCAATCAGCTGCTTGGCTGAAAAGGCTCCAGCGTTCCCCGGCAGTGGTGCACCAACCACCACCAACCCCGCAATATTTGCTCTATAAGACACACAGACATTTTCACCCACTTTGGGGGCAGGGAAGTGCGTCTTATAGTGCAAAAACTACAGTATTTAACTTCTTGGCAGACCACAAGTTTCAATGCATATTATGTCAGTACCAGAGTTTCTCCCATTTAATCTGAGCATTAATAAAGGTATACACTTAGCCCCACCTTTAAGCATTCGCTAATATGGCATGGCTGAATTTGGTGGTGCCATATGATGTTCCCCCCCAAAAAAAACCTAAACAAAAACAAAATATTTGCAATGTTGCGCTTGCATATTTGCTACTGTGGCTATTTTCTCATAAGTGTACTCATATGACTTATTCTCTACCAATACACTCTTTAATGCAAGAAGGAAACAACTACTACGCATTCTCAGTTCTCTTTCACCCTCACCTGACTCTTATTTACATTTTGTTTGCTTATATTCCTCTTCTTATGTCTTTATAATTATTCTCACAGCAGCAGCAGCAGCAGCAGCAAAATGTATAATGCTCTCCGAGTTCTACTCTGAATAATTCAGAATAATTTCTGCTCTAGTCAACTTCTTGGACCTATTCTTAATGCCAGAGCAGCCCCAAGATCCTTCAAGGAATATTAATTTCTATTCACTTTCTGTTCATGATCATTGGATAAGAGTTACCAGTTAATAGACAACAGGCCAGGGGTGGGATTCTAATTTTTAACAACCGGTTCTGTGCGCATGGCTTAGTTTGTGGGAATGGCTTGGTGGTCATGTGACTGGTTGGGCGTGGCTAGCTGGCCATATGACTGGCAAACCAAATATAAGTGGTCCTCACTTAATGGCCAGTTGCTTAGCAAGTTCCTCACTTAATGGCCAGTTGCTTAGCAAGTGTTCTAATTTACAACTGATCTCCCCAGAGCTACTTGACCTGTTTCTCTCTCTCTCATATCTCTTTTTCTTTCACTCTTTCTCATCTCTCTTTCTCTCTCTCATCTATAACCGCTAAGATTGGAAGCTGCTTTTTTATAACCCTATTTCTTTGCATTTTTTTTCACACACATTTGTGCATATGTATCCAATACTCTTTCTTCCTTTCCGCTATGTATCCAAAATGGACAATGATTGTGTGTGTGTGTAGCATGTGTGTATGTGTGTTATGCATGTGTATGGATATGTATAGATATTTCACTTTTAATGTGTGCCAGTGTACTTACAGTAAAAAATGACAATAAAAGTTATCTTATCCTATCTTCCTTCTTTCCTTCCCAACCCCATTCCTCACCACACCCTATTTTGTGTTGGCTTCCCAGCCAAGTACTTACCAGGTCTGATCCTGTTTAGCTTTCTAAAATCAGCCTAATAAAATAAATACCAAACTAAACTGCCAAATAATTTACCCACCATCACTATATTGCACCTGATTTCAATGTAAAGAGCCAATCTGCAGTATTACTAAATTTTGCTAGGCATCTGCTGCATGTTATTCTCTCTTCCTTGATAATCTAGTCTTAGCTGGGCAAAACTTCTGGGACCAGCTCCCCCGCTGCTGCCCGTCAGCTGCTCCTGCGGCTGCTCATGTGATGCATCGGGGCTTCCAGGCTCTGCTCCCCACAGCCGCCGTCAGCTGTCCCAGACTTGATCAAGGGGCGCCTTGCCGACATGAGCCTCTCCATGTGTTCTCCTGCTGCTCTTGCTGGGAGAGCGACAGACTCTTTCTTGGCACAGCTAAAAGCTTGCAAGTCCCCCTTCCCATCAGGAAATGGCTCCGGGCAGCACAGAGAAACCGGATTCAACCTGGCTGCTCTCTCTGCTGCCCGGAGCAGTTTCCCGATGGGAGAGGGACTTGCAGTTGCAGGCTAAACTTTGCTGTGCCGGGAAAGACTCGCTCGCTCTCCCAGCGAGAACAGCAGGAGAGAGAAGCAGCCAGTGACCCAGCCGGAGCCGACACGGAGCTGGTCCATGTGTTCCCGGGCAAAAGGTAAGTGGGGGGAAGGCGACTGGCAGCAGCAGCAAAAGGCAAGTGATGGGGGGAAAGGCGACCGGCAGATAGGCAACCGGGGCTTGCAGAGCCTCACTCACCCAGGGAGATCAGATCAGGCAGGGCCGCAGCGGAAGGCAGGCAGCAATGGCTGGCCTGGAGGGTGGGCAAAAGCAGGCTGCAGGCAGTGATCGTAACAACCGGTTCTATAGAACAGGTCCAAACTGGTAGAATACCACCCCTACAATAGGCTCAATAGAACAGAAAGAGTAGATAATAGTATTTTCACTCTTTTTTTAATGGTCTTTCTAAGGATAACTGGGAGAAAGAGGGCGTCCATGTCTACAGTATGTTTAAATTAGAAAAAGTGTGTGCATGCTTTTCCATCCAATAACCAATTGCTACACACTAGAAAAAATAATGGGGACAATTAATTGTAAAGATGAAATATTTTGTTTTAAAGGTTAAGGTAGGAAATACATTTTACAAGAAATTATACAGTCACAAAAATCAATTTGAATTACTACTTAACTACTACTGTTTCCCCGAAAATACAACCTACCCTGAAAACAAGCCCTAACCCGATTTTCACACCTGTGCCTAAAACAAGCCCTCCCCCCAAAGTAAGGCCTAGTTAAGCCCCACCCACCATCTGGTTGTACGAGGTGGGGCGAGGCACAGTCGTAAAAATCAAGCTAGGGCAAGGGTGGGGGATGTAGGACGAAACCAGGCGGGGGTGCAGAGCTGCCCCATGCACCCCACACTAGCTTACCTGAGGGCCCTGCAGCCAGGCCATCAACGTCCTGATAACTGCTTTTCCTTGCGGCGGCTCCAGAAACCCCGTTCAGGACCCTGCGTGGCCACCGGCCTGCTTCTCCTTGCTCACTACCACAACAGAGCAGGAGGCTGAGCACTGCAGGGGGGTCCTGGACAGGACTACTGGAGCTGCCGTAAGATGAGGCAGTTGTCAGGGTTTTGATGGCCTGGCTGCGAGGCACTCAGGTAAGGTGGTGCGGGGTGTGGGGGGCAGCTCTGCACCCCTGCCTTGTTTCATCCTTCACCCCCCACTGCCTTGCTTTGTGGCCACTGCACCAGTACATTGCTCAGCCTCCTGCTCCATTACGGCAGCAAGGAGAAGAAGTGGTGAAGAACAAAGCAAGGCATTGGGGGGGGGGGGGGATGAAGCAAGGCAAGGGGTGCGGAGCTGCCCCACGCGCCCCTTACCAGCTTACCTGAGGGACCTTCAGCCAGGCCATTCATGCCAAACCCTCACATACACACCCCAGGGCAGCCACATCCCTTCACTAACCTGCTTTGCAGCTCCGTTCACCACCACTATATACAGGGCAACAAAAGTAGTCTGAGGGACTACAGCAAAAAAAAAATTCGAACCCTCCAAATTCTCACGGAAAAAAAAAGATCTTGGGAAGTTGAAAGGACTGAACTTTATTTTTACTGTGGGGAGCTGTTTTTTAAGCACAGGTGCACAAGTTTGAGCTGAGGGTTATATATCTTTCAGTGCCATGCCATGACACCCACTCCAAAATTTACTAAATGGACCAAAATTTATAATACCGTGTTTCCTCAAAAATAAGACCCTGTTTTATTTTCTTTTGGACCCCAAATTAAGCACTCGGGCTTATTTATTTTTTTCCATCACAAGGGCTGGGCGGGTGCCCCCACCCCCACCCCCCACACACGCACAGGAGCTGCAGGCCACCATGGGGTGAGAGAACGAGAGAACGATCTGATCAAATGTGTGTGAGAGAGGGAGGGAGAGGGAGGGAGAGAGAGAAATGCTGCCAGCCCTGGTATAACTCCCCAAGGTTGGATCAGATTGCTCTGTCTCTCACTGAAAGATATATTGTCCTCAGCTCAAACTTGTGCACCTGTGCTTAAAAAAAACAGCTCCCCATTTACTAAGAAACTCCAAGTTCTGTAATTTGATTCTGTATGGGTGGTGACTTCTCACAACTGCATTCAAGAGATTCTCAGTACATTTATTAATATCAGACATTAGACTGAAGTATCAGATTGAAAAGCAAGTTATTTTTTGCACCTAAACTACACTATTTTGTCTTGCTACTACCAAATTAGTGTTTTCAAAGGCAAGACAGGTAATAAGGCTACAAGTACATCTGTGGCTCACATATTTTATGGTTATTTAAGTAAAGTCTCCTCTTACCTTTGACAATCTTTTTAGCACAATCATTATATACATGTTCCTGTGATGTGTGTGACTGGAATACACGGTTAAATGCATAAGGCTTAGACTGGAAAAAAAGAGTCATAAAAATTAAGTTATACATTTAGGACAGACTTTATGGTACTCCAATTATTTCTGGGTCATGGGTTATACTGTATACATCTAATGTTTGTTAACAAAAAGATTTTTTTTCGCTAAATGTCATACTGTTCCTTGAGAAGACTTCCATTTTCTTTCAAGCTGCACATTTAATGATAATAAAACTGATAACAAATGCCAGCAAAAACAGAGGTAACATTCAAGGTGGTTATTTTTACCCAATGCTTGAGAGTATGTCAGTTTTAATAAATATACTGTATACGCATGATACCCAGAGTTTTGTTCAGGCAACACTTGAAAAGCAGTAATTTAACCCTTAAAACTGTTCAGGCATGTCTTTGAAGATGTTAGAAGAGATGCAGGGATCCAATATAATCTGAAACTAAATTAATTTTTAGCTTTGAATAATTAGATTGTTCAATCTCATTTTGACATTATTTTGCCTGTGTTTATCAAGGCCTTTCAAATGCAATGCAGCTCTTGCTTATTAATTAATCTGTCATTCAAAGGCACAAATAAAAAAACTGAAATGACAAAAATACATTTTATAGTTCCTAGAAATATTTCCTTGCTGAAATACTAGTTAATGCTTCCCTTACTAGATTGAAATATAAAGGTACTGCATGTACCTTTATCGCGAATAGCATAAAAACTATATGAAAAGTAATCCAAAAATATATTAACTGATAAAACAAGCTTTTTAAGAATTGTAATATGCTATGCTAATTTTAAATTAAGAGCAACCAAATCAGAATGATCACTGTTTTCAATGTTTCAAGACTGACAGCATATTCAACACTCCTAAAGAGTTAAGCAAAGAGTTATGAAATATTTCATAATTCTATCAGGTACCAACTGGAATTGTTTTCAGTAGGCTGCTTCAAGATAATACTTTGAAAAACTATCATTTCCAATCTGATAAACAAAGGGTAAGTTTAACAGCCACATATGCTTCTGGTTCAAAATAATTTTGAAATATTATACAAAATAATTCTAATCACATATTAAGAATACCCTGACATTAACTCTGTTAAACTACAACTCTGATTTCACAAAAGCCACTATATTCTTTTGTAGAAAGTTAGCACCCACCCCTCTCCTAGAAGAATTAAATATTTTGAGAAATATTAAAAAGGCAGAATATTATATTTCCCTGGATGATAAAAGAACATGTTTTAAATTAAAGACAGAAAGCAGCTCTGTGCCCCAAGCAGATATTTGGTACCCATTAAGAAAGACTGGGCCATCCTATCTACAAGACAACCTTCAGCTCCAGGGTGATGGGATTAAGACATGACCCTCCAGATAGGATTATCCAGCAAAAGAGCTCACTGCATTGCAAAATCTCCTAAGGACATTGTATCAGCCCAAGCTTCAACCAAACGTATCTCAGACAAACTCCTAGGATTTGTACATGGCACCATGGGAGTCTGACAACAGCCAATAGAATACATGTTCTTGGGCGGGGCTGACGTCACGGCGATATGGTGGTGGGTTAGCGGGGCTCCACTAGCCCAGCCAAATTCTACCTGTCAGGAGGCCCCCCCAAGGGGCCAAAAGTCAGCCCAGAGAGGTGACGAGGATGAGGGATCGCGAGGAGGAAAGCAACCCCTCACAGGTCCGGAGGAAGCCCTCAAACTGGCAGGAGAAGATGATGGCCATTATGGCCAGAACAAGCTGGGATGAATCAAAAGTTGGAATTAAGATTGCCAGGAGAAATATCAACAACCTCAGATATGCAGATGATACCACTCTAATGACAGAAAGTGAAGAGGAACTAAAGAGCGTCTTGATGTGGGTCAAGAAGGAGAATGCAAAAGTTGGCTTGAAACTCAACATTAAGAAAACTAAGATCATGGCATCAGGCCCTCTCAATTCCTGGCAAATAGATGGGGAAGAAATGGAGGTAGTGACAGATTTTATTTTTCTGGGCTCCAAGATCACCGCAGATGGGGACTGCAGCCAAGACATTAAAAGATGCTTGCTCCTGGGGAGGAAAGCTATGGCAAATCTAGACAGCATACTAAAAAGCAGAGACATCACCTTGCCAACAAAAGTGCGTATAGTCAAGTCTATGGTTTTCCCAGTTGCAATGTATGGCTGTGAAAGTTGGACCATAAGAAAGGCTGAGCGCCAAAGAATTGAGGCCTCTGAACAATGGTGCTGGAGGACTGCAAGGCAATCAAACCGGTCAGTCATAGAGGAGATCGACCCTGACTGCTCTTTAGAAGGCCAGATCCTGAAGATGATACTTTGGCCACCTAAAGAGAAGAAAGGACTCACTGGAGAAGAGCCTAATGCTGGGAACAATTGAGGGCAAAATAAGAAGGGAACCTCAGAGAATGAGGTGACTGGATGGAGTCATTGAAGCAGTCGACGTGAGCTTAAATTGACTTAAATGGAGGATGGTAGAGGACAGGAAGACCTGGAGGAACATTGTCCATGGGGTTGCTGTTAAGCCTGAATTCCCCAACGAGTGTTAAGGAAAACAAACTAAACAGAATGTGTAGCGTAGTCAGATAGGCAGACAGGTAAATGTGTGAGATAAGTTTGTATTTTAGTTAACACGCAGTAAAAAACAGATACGCTTGTGCTATCAAAAATATAGTTTATTCCATTAGGAATTATAGCATAGTCAAAATAAACGGTCCATTAGTCATGTATCATTTCAGTCAGTCCAGTCGGGGATACTCAATTTGCAAAGTCCGTGTTGAATAGCCAATGTCAGTTCACTTACAATAAATCAGTCCGTATTATCTCTTCTCTCCGTTGAGAAATCAACACTCCTTTTTCTCCTCCGTTCCAGTAAGGAAAAACGCAGTCATCAATCCATCCAGTAATTAGGGATCATTAAGCCAGAGAGAGAGAGCTGCAATTGACTTGTTTCTTTTATGGTGATTTTACAACCACACCCTTAATTACATTCTTGTAGTTAAAGTTACATACACTTTAACCAACAAACCATGATAACTTATTTATTATTTTTACCCAAACCAGTTAGGGTAAACAATGTTATCCCTAACAGTTGCGATGGGTCAGACACGACTTCGCAACTAACAACAATCTAATGACATCATGGGAGTCTGACAGTCAAAGGTTTTTCATGACTGTTAATCCTGACTGCTGTATATTTCTTCCAGTATCAGATCAACAAGCCTTTCACACCAGTTGTAAGAAACACATGGAAAAGTAACTGTCCAGTTGTTCTCTTTACAGACTTTCCATGGGTATTCGGTTGACCGTTGTGAGAAAATAATATTGGATTGCAGCCTTTAGTCTGAACCAAGTTCATTGTTTAAGGAACTACCTGGCTTATTCTGACAAGTTGTATTCACATATATAATAACAAGTAGAAAGTACGGTATAAACTTTTCAGCTTTGATTTACCCACCATGAAAAATGTTTTGCAGAGATCTCATGAAAATATTTCATTCATCACATCCTATTTTGGAATCAAGTTAAAAGGACACCCCCCCCAAAAAAAAAAAAAAATACAAAAAAACCCCTATGGCATCTGCCAGTAGACTTAAAGAGTGTGGCTCCAAAATTAATTGCTCATTACAAGGTGAAATAAAAACTGTGGACTACTGTTGAGGTAATTCCCCGTTAGGAGAATGAGCGCATACAGGGAGAGGTATTTGAAAGTAGTGTTTGAATAATACACAAACAGCACACAGATACACTGTACAGTAAATGTAGGTTTTTACTTCCAGAAAGGTTTTAGCAAAGTCCAAACAAGCAATCCAAAGTCATTCACAAGTAAATCAGTCAGTTTTCAATCCAGGGATAATCCAGTAACAAAGTCCAGTGTCAAAAAACAGTTCAGTATCAGACTTACATCAAATCCAGAAATATCAGTCAATTATGAGGAATGGAAATATTCTCTAACAGAAGGAAAACAGACTCACTCAAACTTCTTCTGAGACTAATGCTAAGACAAACCAGGTTTCTGGCTCCATCTTATGGCCGTTTGAGAAACCACACCCAATTGCAGTTTTTAGCATGGTCTTAAAGATACGGTATTAAAATGTTTATCCTGGTTTATATATTTCTAACCCAAATACCTGTTAGGTCAGGGGTCCCCAACCGCCGGTCCGCGGACCGGTACCGGTCTGCGGAACAAGTCTTACCGGGCCGCTGGTTGCTGGGCGCCGCCATCTTTTTTTGATAAAAAAGTGCTTCCGGGGAGCTTCCCCAAGCACTTTTTCGTCAAAAAAAGATGGCGGCGCCCAGTTGATGCCGGTACCGGGCCGCGGCGCCCAGCTGATGCCGGTACTGGGCCGCGGCATAAAAAAGGTTGGGGATCACTGTGTTAGGTGACTTATATTCCTAACAACTACCATCAATTATGAAATAAAAAGGTCCTTGTACCCAATTTTAAACAATCCTGAAGACAAGTTCACACAAACACTTCTTCCTGTTTATCAAAAACTATTCTTTGTGTACATGCCCAATTTGCACACATTGGACATAAAACACAAATAATGTGTCCCACCTTTGGCATGAAAGCTAGTTGGGTGACTCTCTCTCAGCCCAACCCACCTCACAGGGTTGTTGTTTGGGGAAAAATAGGAGGGAGTATTTTGTATATTTGCCAACTTGAGTTATTTATAAAAATAATAAAGGAAAGATTAAAAAAATCTAAAATAACAATAATGTTCTTTGCAAAATAATTAGCAGCCCTAAATATTTTAAAAAAACTTTATTATGGCCCTACTGTCATGACTCCAATAAAGAATGGACTGGAGCCGAGACAGCCAGGATGTGATACGACCATGTTCTTTCACTTGCCTAGTGTTGCCACGTGGACGCTATAATGAATATTCATCAAATAACTAACATCGGCTTCCTGACAAGGAGTGGTGTAATAATAATGATTCATGGCTGGATGTCAAGGGGGTGATGTTGTAATAATGATAAGAAATAAATGAGGGTACATGGGCTCATCGAGCAGGGGAAAGGTGCAGT